AAAGGATTGATTTCTACCCCCATCAATAATTTAAGGCTGTGCTCTGACATTTACACTCTTCCATAATGGGAAACACCTTAACAGTAACTCAGAGAGGCACATCTGTCTATAAATAACACAAATGTGAAAGAAAAAACATCCAGATTTAAGCTGTGTCTTAAATGTCACCATAAACAATATATTTTGTTAGAATCTGAACCAATTAAATGTTTATGTGAACGGCAAAAATTGGGGTAAATGTAGTTACTTTTGTGAAAAGGCCATTTACAGGCAGTACTGAATTATGTTGTGTGTCCTAAAAGTAGAGACCCTATAGTGCTTGTGTGTATGTGTGTGCGTACTTGTTTTTACTACAGAGTGAGGACCATTTGTGTCATAGTTACTATCAAAGTGAGGTCTTTGATGTAAATTGAGGACATTTATGTCCTCAATTTATTTGCAGCTCTATCAGTTAGGTTTAGAGGTATGGTGTGAATTAACTTTGGGTTCAGGTTAGGGTTAGCTATAGACCAGTAATGGTTAGTTTTAGGGAAAATGTCGGGGTTAGGCATGTATAGTTACAAAAATGAAAGGAAATCAATACATTACGATACGTTTTTGCTACATCGTGGGAACCATTTTCCAGAAAAAGGCAGCCTCGTGGGGGCCGAATATTCATCGTTGGGACTAATGCCCGGTCCCCACAGGTAAGGATGCTAATTTCAGGCCGACAAATGAATGGAGGTCAATGCAAAGTCACCATAAGGACAGGAAAAAAAACAATGTGTGTGTATCTGTGTGGCCTTGTTTTTCCTACATTGCGGGAGTAATTTTCCCAAAAAAGCATCCTCATGGGGAATCGTGCATCATGGGGACCAATGCCCGGTCTCCATGGATCCAAATGCAAATTACAGCTTAGGGGTTAGGTTTAGGACCAAGGTGTGAATTGTGTTTAGGTTCGTTTTAGTGTCATGTAGGTACCTGTGAGGTTTATTTTAGGGTAAATGGTCAGGGTCAGGCTATAAAATTTCCAAAAAATGAATAGGTCAATGCATGGTCTCCACAGGGATATAAAAACTAGACTAGAGTGTGTAATATAGTTACATAGGCTCTTCCAGATGCAGTTTGCCATTTTCAATGTTACACATCATTGGTTCGCATTATTGTGTGAAAGTTATTGAGCATTCACGTTATTGAGAAGATCCATTTATCTTCCACTTGTTTCAGTGCATATCTTAAATGTTCAGCTCCTTCAGGACATTCTGGCTGTAACTTTTGGTATTTAGCAATTACTACTTTTTGACATATTCAGGATTTTTGGCAATTTTGTTAGCATTGAAAACTAATTCAACATCTTTAAAATCTTTCAAAAGTAAAACTTATTTGTTCCAGTTTAGCATCTTTTTGCTAATATTAGCTTTTTTCTGCCTTTTCAGTTATCATTCTGCCTTTTTCATTTATTATTTTTGTGCTTCTGTCAGCTTATTTCTACAAATTTAAGCCTCGAATACTTTGTTCAGGTGTTTTGTGTGACTGTAGTTGCATTTTTAGCTGTTTGTAGCTAATGTTGGACTAGTTCAGCTAAAATCACATTTTTGTGATAGTTTAGCTCTCCTTTCAGATGCTTAATTCAGCAAATAGCTCTTTCTACTTAGTGCTAGATTCAGCTTTTTCAGATAATTTTTAGCTATTTTGAGTTTTTCGGTTACTTTACAGTAAATTGCGAAATTTTAATACATCTATGCTTTTTTCTGTAAAACACCCTTTAGTATTAAGTAAATGCAATTTCTTTACTTTATGTTTTGCTCCTTTATCAGTAC